CCTTGTAGTTTACCAAGTGGAGAGTGTAGATGTGGGGAAGTTGGAAAGAAAATTCCAGGAAAGAGGGAGGACATTTAGAGGTGGTACTAGAAATCCTTCAAGGGGTGGGAGGTTGTGGGTAAAGGTAAGATTAAGAGGACACAATTCTCTCTTCTAATCAAGGGAATTTTATCTTGCAGGTATTTGGAAATCACACGAGAACTAGAAAATTGCATAAATCTTAACATAACTCTTAATTCACTCAATTTGCTAATGTTTTCCCTGCCACTTTCGATGAAATATGCCCCATTGGGAAAGTAATTTAGAATTAGGCTCCTAGAATTCAAGGGTAATATTATAATACTTATCCATCCTTTTAAAATGAAGTATTTGGAAATTCATTTTGGGAGATTTATTTTTAATTTTTTTTCATGTAGTAAAAAACATCGTTCTAGGGTTGTGGCTCAGGCGTAGATTCCTGGCCTAGCACATGTGAGGCACCGGGTTCAATCCTCCAGCACTACATTAAAATAAACAAATAAAGTTGTGTCCATGTACAACTTAAAATATATTTTTTAAAAGACATTGCCTGGTATATTTTCCCATCATAATCATTTTTGGATTAATAGAGTTGCATCTGATCTTTGAACATGGCAATATAAACAAGTACAAATAGGTCATTTTCACTCTCTTCGCCCAACAGCTTTTGAAGACCCTTGAATATCAGGGTGGCTGAAAGCAAGAGACCTTTGAGAAATTGTGAAATTCACAAAGACAATCCTCAAAGACATCTCAGTTGAAAGCTAATAAATTCTTACTATATGGCTTTTTAAATTTTGCTTAATGCTAAAATAGTTCTTCCAAAGTGTTTTTTTTTTTAATTATAAAGCTTCAAGGTAACATTAAAAATTGAGAATCTCATATTCTACATATATTTGACCCTTGGAAAGCTAGAATATGGTTTTTGACAATATTTGTTTCAGTGATACTTCTGCAAAATTTTTTATTATACCAGTGGGCAGGTGAGTTCCTGGGGTGAATACTTCATTCAAGTCCTTTTACTGCAAATGTTGCCAGTTAATTCTATAGCTACCGAGTTTCCACAAAAAAGGCTTTTAAATATGCACATGTTCTGATGTAAGTACAGGTGTTTGGGTATACATATGTACATATATAAATACATATTTCTAGATCAATCCCCTTGTCTAAATAAATGTACAATGTATGTAAAGATATTTAAGACATATATTTAAATTAGTGCAATGAGGAAAACACTTGCTATATAAGAGACTTTTAATTTCCATAATAAAAAATTAGAACTTTGGTGGATTAGAACTCCTGATAGAACTCTTGCAACTAAGTAACAAAATAATGGTAATGGCAATAGTAATGAGAAACAAAAGCAAAAAATAAAAAAATAAAAAAGAGGGGGAAGAAACAAGGAGCATATGTTATACACAGTTTTAGGTTAAAACAGAACAGTAATGTGGCCAGCTTCAGGAGATAATAGGGTCTTAGTTCTGGTGAAGACCCAGGAGAGTCACCCCAGGAGAGTCACCAGTGCTGAAGTGCCCAGATGGTCTAATGACAAGCTATAGTCAACATGAGCAATTCTGCAAACACAGATCCTCTCTAGGAACACATCTTTTTCTTGTGCTTGGAGTATAGTCACACATTGTGTTGATGAGCCTCCGTGGAATTAAAATGAAACAAGTCTGATGAAAATAAAGTTGAGTTGATTAAACACTCTGAACTCTGACAATGACAAGTGATCAGGTCTCGCAGCCTTTAACTGGGAACTGCTAACAGGGATGCTGAGCAATAATGATTGTTGCAGCAAATGCGGGATTTTTATTTACAGATGTTCCATAGACTCTTGAGCCCTTTATATGCATTAATTTATGCAGTTTTCACAGCAGCTCTATGAGGCATTTAACATTATTATCTCCATCCTATACATGATAAAAACGAATCACAGAAATATCTTTTTTTTTAAATAACATGTCCGGTTTCTTACAGATTTTAAGTTGAGGAGACAGACATCAGGCCTTGAAAAAAAAACTGGTACCACTAACAATTAAATGCACCCAAATTAACCTTTACCCAAAGTAAAGCCTATAGAAACATGCACTATTTAAAAAGAATTCAGTTTTATATTCTATACTTGTAGAACTAGAGGGTTTTTTTTTTCCCATTCACCTCAAATAAATCAGTATTAAGGATGCAATAAAGGTAATCCTTCTTCAGAGAGTAGAAAGTCTGACTCATGAAAGCCATTATCCAAAGAAGTATAAAAGGTATAATTTAAATAATTTAAGAAAGGATTACCATTTACAAGTTGGAAAAGGAACCTCAGACTTTCTGTGGCCACTAGTCAACGTATTGTTGCTGCCAAAGGACATAATACATTTCTGGAAATTATCAGGGAAGATTTAGAAACAAAATAAGAAAGTTGGTCCCTCTTAAAGTTCAAATATAATTTCCTAATAACAGGAGTCTTATTATATTAAAGAAAAAAATGGGATGAGGGCTAAGGAAGGAAGGAAGAGGCACTGTCACATTCACCTAAGACTTAACTCCCGAGGAGACAGTCAGATTCTTTCCCATGATGCATATGGTTCCTCATGACTCTTTAGACATGAGCTGGGGAACATGGAAACAGATCTGGACAGAAATGAAAGTTCTACGTATGGCCAATTCCATTTATTGGAACACAGTGCACAGAGGAGTGCCAAGACCTTTTCTTCCTTGAGGATGATACTTGGGAAATGAAGCACGACTTCTGTTGAGGACTAGGGCAATAATTGCACTTAGTGGTTTAACTGCTACCTGGCTTTGAATACCAATTCTATGACCTGGGGAAAGCCACTTAACCATTCTGAATTTCAATTCCCTCACTTGCAAAATAGGGGAAAATTTCAACTACTTCTTAAGGTTAGTATGAGGATTAAGTGCGATCATCTATGTAAAATGGAAGGGTTTTTTTATGAGCACCAAACACTAAAAGAAATTTTTTTCTTTGGATAAGATTACATGTGAATAGAAATTTCTAACTTTGGGGAGTGATGAATATGTTTGACAGTGATGAAGGGTATACAGATATGTGAACATATTAAAATTTACAAATTCTATACAATGGAAATGTGTAGTTGGTTTTGTGTCTGTTGAATCAATGTAGCTGTTAAAAACAAAACAAAAATCAGTGTTTCTATGATTTTGTGTGCATTTGTAAATTTAGTTGATAGATATTTCTTAGCTAATAGAGGCACAGGACATGATAACCCTCCTCAGAAGAACTGGACCCAGTTCTTTAGGGCAGGAAATGAAAGGTACTTATAGGTTCACATTTTTTGAGAAATTTGTAATTTTATCAATGATGAATTTATACATTAGCACGACTTCCCATTGAATGGACAGATGTATTCTGAAGTTCTGGGATAGAAGATTCTACAGAAAGGAATGATTTTGAATAGTATATATAATTTTGAAATCTCACTAGAACTATTCTTGCTCATGAAATACTGAGATCCAGTGATTGGATTTAGCTAATTCATTTGGAGTGAGAATTTACATCAATTCTAATGTAAAGACAGTAGCTTTCCACAGACATTCTATGATGTCCTCTTTATCTTGTGTGATATCTATAGTTTCACAAAATCATGGAAGTCAGAGCTTTAATAACTCTGACTTGTTTAGAGCATTAATTGCAGTTAATTTTCAGCTAAAATTTTTTCTCAGTTAGTAAAGAAAGGAGTGATTCATTTTGGTTTTCAAACTGTAAACTTACAAAATAATATTGGGCTTATTCAAGCCAATAAACGAACAAATTAACCTGCCCAGGTATCTTAATGTGTTGACGAAGTCACTAAGCCAATATAGCTTTCTTTTACAGTCTAATAGTGATATGGAGGGAGACGCCAATCTCAAAGAATAATTTGCCCTATTGGATGTTTAAGATTCATCCTATGTTTTCTCTGATATGCGGATGCAAATTCACACTAAAGAGGAAAGAGAATTGAGGTGTTTTGGACTAGGCACAGGAGAATGAAGGGAGAGGGGGCATGGGGGTAAGAATGATAGTAGAATGAATTGGACATTATTACTGTATGTGCATATGATCACATGACCTATGTGATTCTACACAGGTACAACCAGATGAATGAGAAGATATATTCCATTTATGTATGATGTGTCAAAATGTATTCTACTGTCATTTATAACTAATTAGAACAAATAAAAAACTTGAAAAGAAAAAAAAGATTCATCATTCATCCTTTCTCACTGTCATTATTGTAAGAGAAGTTCCGACATACTTTAGTTTTGATCATTTCCTCTTAGGAAATCAGTTTACTGAAGTCCGACAGGACCTTCTAACGAATCTATGAGTCATGAGTTATAGTCATGTACTTTGACTATGTTTTATCATGTGTGTCCACTTAATATTCTAATAATTGTTCTCCCTGGGATTCTGTCGAGATTTTACTGGGAAACTGCAGTGAAAAGAGTGGGGTGGAGGATTAACTTTTAACCTTTTTGGAATTGCAAAAGATTGATGAGAAAACACAGCTAATTTGATTGCAATTAGAAAAATCTTTCCCTTTTTTAGAAAGCAGCTCCCAAGCATCTATTTTGAAAATTGAACCCAGCAGTTTCTATAGTGAAAATACAGTTGCCTTGAGGGAGAAATATTCATCCACACACAAATACAGATTCTGGATGTTTCTAACTTAACTGTAAAAGTTGGTGCTTGCCTCTTTTAAAGCGAGCTCACATTGTACTTCAACAGACTGTTTTTTCAACAATATCTATGATATCCTTTTATGGTCTGCCAGTACTTTTTTGAAGCCCACTTAGAACAGCAGCCAACAAAATTGAGACTAAAAGATATTGAGGCCAAATATTTTTTCAGAACCAAGATGTTACTTCAAAAGATCTTCATTACAAAGCACTACTGTGACTCAAATAATCACTTATTTTTAAGGGGGATTTGCTAACATGGAATTTATTTCTTATCTTCTCAGCCCCCAGTGAGCCTTTACTGTGCAAGTTCGCAGATGGAGGACAAAAGAAGAGACAGAATCAAAGCAAATATACCCAGAATGGGAGGCCTTGGCCCAGAGAAGGAGAGGTGAGTCCTGACTGAAAACCTTTGCTCAGAAATTTGGCAACAAATATCTCTCAGAAGACATCTGGGGCCATGATGAAATTTGGTCCCATGGAAAACCAAATGCCTTCAAAGGGGCAAAGAAACAGGCCTACATTTCACATATCCAGTATAAAATTATGTGAGGAAGAACATAGGACTTAAAAACCAGCTTTGGTTCTGTACCACATTAACTGTTCTGTCTTTAACCATACTTGAACCTGAAAAGAGCTCATTGGAAGACTTAAGAATAGGTTAGTGATTATAAAATAGTTATAAAAGAATGGTATTATTATTTAAGAAAATAGTTTCACTGAAATCCATATTGAGAGTTGAATGTATATTGAGAAAGGCAAGCAAAAAAAATAGGATTTATTTTGTCCTGCCATTGATAGTCTACTTGCACAGGTACATGTGTTCGTAAACTCACTGCTGCTGCTCTATTTATGTATATGTCAATTTAAAATATGGCATTTCTGTTGGTCAAGAAGGAGGAAGTAAATTTGATGCACTCATGGTTCTGTTCTTCACAAGTGAGAGGAAGAGAAAGCTCTTTCCAGTTAACCATGCATTGACCCTCTTGATAGAAATCAGCAGAAAGGCAAGCTCTCTGGATCCAGTGTCACATGGGGATAGATTCCTTTTGGTTACTTTATTTCTGAAAGAAGACAAGGAAAAGGTGTCTAGGCTTACATGAGGGTTTTGTTTTGTTTTGTTTTTGTTTTTGTTTTCATGTGAGATGGAATGGAGTTGTTTAAATGACTTGAATAAATGCCATTTTGGCCAAGGCCATAGCTTCAACAGGAGAGATTTATTTTGTACTTCTAATTCAAAACACCTACTTCATCCACTCATCACTGAAGAGTCAGTGCATTTGACGTGGCATTTTATACTTTCAACACAGAGAGTAGTTGTAAAAAATAAAGGAAACTGGGATTTTTCTTAGCAAGCCTTTTAGCCGATTTTCAGGTTCTCGGCTTGCTATCTGTTTCCATGAAGTTCTCAAAACCCTTCTAAAAGTGTATAGTTATGTTCAAGGACCTACAGAACCTACCACTCTTTGCAATAAGGCATGAAATACAGAATTGGCACTGAGCCTCAGAAGCTAATAGAAAAAGGAAAAAGTTTTCTTATTGTCGATTTCAGAAAGGAAGTTTATGTTGTGTTTGTAAAAGGAGGTGGGAGAATGATCCAGGTGTCCTCGTCATGGGGTTGAGTGTTTTACAGGTAACCTTCTTCCCAGAAGGAGAGCAGATACTTGTGACAGCACTTACTGCATCCTTCCCAGACCAAACATCCATAGTCAGAATGACTCACTTGACCTTTAAAATGTGGTTGGATAAAATATCCAATTAAAGGTATTTTGGATCATAGATTATAACCCCAAAGTCAAGACTTAATGAAGTACCTTAGCTCTAATGACTGAAACTTCAGTTCCTGCCTCCTCAAGTACCTGTACTATTACCTTCATCCTGTCGATAGTGATTGCAGAACAACACTTGACTGGGATCCCTGTTTCTTGGAAACCAAATCAACAAACAGAAATGTAGACTTACAGCTATCACCCTGCTATTATATACAGAACTAGGGGTTTTAGCTCTGGGGATGATGAACCACATGTACCACAGTGTGAAAGCATTGTAGGGACAAGTTTATAACCCAGAGCGCCTTAAAATTTAAATGTTGGCCTTAAAAGTATATTCCTAATACTTGTTTTCAAGATTCTTTTTTTTAAGGACTATATATTTTCCTGTTGAATTATGAAAATCAAGGGGTCATAGTAAATTTATCAGCAAAATTATACTCCAGACTTTTAGAAAATTGTAAAGAGATCAGGAAAATAAATGACAAGCATTAAAAATGTTTATCAAGTACCTTGTTTGGGGGATGAATCTAGAAGTAAGCACACTAAGGATGCTGGATCACTTTCCACTTCATTCTATAATTTTCATTTCTACTCTTTTTTTGCATTACACTTATTAGAGCAATCTAAAGGATATTAACAAAATATAACATAATACAAATAATCCCACAAGCACTATGTAATTAATTTTTATGTTCCTGTAAATTCTAACTACATATTTCATGGGGATTCTAGTTGTTGTTGTTGCTTGTCCATACTTCAACACTTCTGAAATGCAGTCTCCTCTTGTTGTGGGGGCAGGGAGTAATTTACAAGAAGGTCTGTTTTTGCTCCTTTCAGTCACCTGGGGGCACTATTTACACTGTCTGCTTAAGCTTTGTGGCCACACTGATTACAATAAAAGCCCACCTCTAGAGGCTGGGGATATAGTCCGGTTGGAGGAGTGCTTGATTAGCATGCATAAGGCTTTGGGTTCAAACCTCAGCTTCACTGGAACTTGCCTCAAGTTCATTTCTAAGGGGTGATTTGTTGTTGTTGTTGTTTTGTTTGTTTGTTTGTTTTAAATGCATACTACAGTGGGCATTTTAACTTGATAAGAAGATCCTTCTGGGTGTTTATTTTTACTCATCTGTTTTTCTTGGTTTAAAAGACAATGGTACACCTCTCCATCATTGTTGTCTTATATAAGATAAAACAGTTAATTATTCTGAGTCAGAATTTGAGGTAATAGAACAGAAGACAATGTTTCTTTTTCCTCTCTCTTGAAAGGATAGTAGAAAACATAATCTGAAAAGGATTTCTGATAAATACTTAAAATAAAAAAACAGTGGATTGCAAGCATTTTAGAAGTACCATAAACATGAAAATTGATATGCTAATTACAACTTTAACTTATTATTTAAATCTGGGTTTTGGGGGGTAGCATTTTGATAGTTTTATCAGCATATTCTGGTGAAATGCATTTCTTTATGAAAAATATAACACTGAAAACTTTAAACACATAAATTGGTCTAAATTACCAAGGTTTTGAAATTTAAATATATGCTAGTGGCCATGATTTTGCATAAGTGAAAAACACAGGGATATTTTGAAGTAATTAACTAATCTTTCAAAGATAAGTGGAACCCTGATAGAATGATCAAGAGATTGGGGCTCTTAGGCCCCTCTTCTCTGGTGTTTCATATTCAAATTGTGAATTCCATTGCTTCTTTAAGCAGCAGTTTCAAATTCTTTGATCTCTGGATCCCTTTAGACGCTTAAAATTTTTATTCGTTAATTTTTTAAAGTAATACAATAAACCCATCAGATGAAAACAAGAATAGTATGTTTTATGAAAAACAACTATATTTTTCAGAGTTGAAGTATTTTTTAGAAAAGAAATAATTAAATATTTTGCAAATTTAATGTCTGTCTCTGTAAAAGATGACTAAATTTGCATATCTGCTTCAGCATTCAACCTCTGGCTATCTGATATTTTATTTTAAGCCCATGTAAAAAAATCTAGCTTCATCTAGACATGTCATTGAAAAAGAGGAATCTTTATGGATCTCCTCGAGGGACCTTGGGAAACCTCAGTTGTCACTTGTGTCTTCTCCAAAGCCTCCCATGGTCCAGAGAGAATGGGGTGCTGGCTGGTACAGCAGGGATACCCCAGGATCCTGCTGCAACAGGTTCTGATTAGCCAGCACTTTAATGCAGTAGTGAAATATTTTTAATGTCACGACAAGTGCAAGAGTTCTCTCACTCTGTCATTGCTGTGACTCTCATGACCCTCAGGAACTGAAGATCTGAGGCTTTAGCCATGTGTTTTATTGTATGTGAGCCCATATTTTGAGTTCCTACGTTAGGCAAAATGATGCTCGAATTGACCTTGATTGCTGCCCACCCCAACCCTGGCTGCCTCTAGCCCCCAGAGATAACTAGTCTGGAACTAGGAATGATTCAAACCCTTTGGAAATATTTCAGGAACATAAAGAGGAACTCTTTTCTGATTCCTCTTATGCTCCCAAAGAAGACATATTCAGTTTCTACGTAAAGCCACCAAATTGGACTCTATCCCAAATAAGATAAGTTGATCAAAAAGCAAATTGCTATGAGCATTTCCCAGATGACCAGATCAAGATCTGATTGATGGCAACTTGCCCTCTCAGTAAAGATAATTGTAAACTAAAATACACATTCATTTCACCACTTCCACTACCACTATCATGGCACATAAACACACTATAACTTGTGGCATGCATATTTTATAACCTATTCAACTGTAATTGTAAAGCAGATTGGATCAAATCAAAGAATGAATAAGTTTCCACTGCAATGATGCTATTCACTCAGATTTTGAAATGATATTGTGTTCACTTTTGTTGCAACTTGTCCCTTTGGGTTTTCATAAGAATTTTCCAATATAAGTATATCCTAAGTTTCAAATTACAGCATTTGGTACTCTCACCAAATGTTGATATTGGACTTTTGTCCTTAAATAGTGCAAGAGTCATACACAAGCCATTTCTCACTGGCTCAAAACTCTGATGTAGCTTTCATAAAATCTTCCCAAGCCCTAGAGTAATTGAATTAGTAAATGTCATTGATAACAATTGTTTCAGGAATTACATACTATTATTTCCATGAAATAATGTTTTGGCCATGGACACAAACAAGAGACATAGCAATTAACAAGAAATAGCACAACAAAAACTCAGATGTTTAATGAAAAAATGGTCAAGATTTTATTAAAAGACAAACCCACTGTAATGACATTTTCTATCTTATTTATAGTTACCTTTTAGAATCAATTGAAAAGCAGAGAAACAACAAACATTTTCTCTGTTTGACACTCTGAAGATGTTTTTTCTTGCTATGGGAACATTTAACAACGTTATCCACAAAGTTTTGGATATAAAGTTGTGCTAATGCAACTAATGTAATATTGTGAATGACCAACATTCAGATTCCCAGAAATTGTTCACAGATTATGATGAAGAGAAAAATCAATTAAAATTTTCTTTAGGGGGAGAATGTAGTCTAGGAATGTTAAAGTTTGGATTTCTTTAATTATACCCAATTAAGTAATAGGTTTTAGGTGAAGCAACACACCCAACACACCTCTGATGAGATGGTATTT